GCTTGGGGAAGAGGAAATGTGGGCATACCTCTTAACCCCCAGACCCTAGCTGCACGGGATGTACTGGGTTTGTCTGGTTTGGTTTGGTTTGATATACCACACTAAGATTTCAGAACACTTGCATCTATATAGGCGAAGGATCGTGTGAGAATAGGAGTTAAGTGACAAGTGTAAGAAGGGATTTGGACCCTTGATCACTAATCCCAAACCAACCCATGAATTGTGCTTTAGAAGGGAATGGATCTAGTATATCTCATTAGTGTTGATCTAGTGGTTTTCTTCAATTAGGATTGATCCAAGGGTGGAGGTCCCTTCTTACCCTTCTCACCATAACTTTCATTCTCAAGGAACCCAACCCTATATATGTGTGTTTGTGCACACACACACTTGTGTATCTTGTTTATACAATTTGATAATTCTCAGGTATATACTCGATGGTTTTGCAATCCACTTTTTTCCAATCAATACCTGTTTTTCTTGTCTACAGGTTCTTGCCTCCAAATCACCAACCCTTTTAGATTTCCATGAGGATCTTGTTAGCCTAGAAGCCGCATCAAAGGTTTGACTTTATCTGTTCTGCAGAGATGGATTATGATATCGTTAGTATATGACCAATCAAGTGCTTTCGTTACAGATACAATTGAAAATGTTAGCAGAAGAAATGCAATCCATCATCAAGGGACTCGAGAAGGTTAAGCAGGAACTAGCTGCATCTGCAAACGATGGCCCAGTATCAGAAGTTTTTCATAGGGTAAGTAAATGTTGTACGGAATTTCTTCAAAAATGCTTTGTTTCCACCTAATTCTGAGCAGTGTTCTAAAAAGCCTTAACCAGAGCTAAGGGATCAAGTGACCTTCTTTCGCCTAATATTCTAAACATGGATTACGAGGATGCTTATGTGGTTCATTTAAATCTATAAAATATAGTTGTAGAGGGAGGTTCATTTAGGAACCTTAAATATTTTAGGAATTGAGGAACCACCCTTTTGTGAGTATTCATGATGAATAATGTGACAAAATATTCATGATGAATAATACTCACTAAATAGGTGATTCCTGGTTCCTAAAATATTTAAGGTTCCTAAATAAACTTGTCTCTATAGTTGTAACTAGATTATGTATACATATAGGAGTCGGAATCTAAATTCTTTTGGTACACTTAATGGTTTCATTATTTCTATGCCACAAGTAGTCAAAAATGATTGCAAAGAGACATCCTCATTGAGGAAAACCGATTAATGATCACAAGTTGAGAAGTTTTGATCAATCCCCACCTTGTTCTTTGAAAAACTAAATCAAACCAATGAACCCAGTATGGCTCATTCAAATATGAGTTGCTAATCAAAGCAGTGGGGAATGCGTAAGCGTAGGTGGTCTATTAAGCGGTCATAAGTAATCAGAGCAGTAGTGGGACACTTGACGCCTATGAGGACATTTCAGCGGCCCTAATCATGGATTTTTAGAACATTGATTACAAGTTTAGGACTACAAATTCTGATCAAGATTTTCTCGCATTGTTAGACATTAAAGGAGTTCATTGGCGTTGCGGAGGCTGAAGTGACAAGTGTAACGAATTTATATTCTGTTGTGGTAAATCCCTACAAATATGACTATATAGATCTTATTACTCTAAAACACCTTTCCTTTAGGATTATTCCATTAATTTGTTTCTGTTACAGGGTAGGAATGCTGATGCATTGGCCCTATATTTTGGCGAAGACCCTGCTCGTTGCCCTTTTGAGCAAGGTAACTTGCATATAATTGTTTAGAAGGGGCATATTCATTTGTACAGTATGCACGTGTGCATAAAAGTAATTGAAAATGTTTCTTGTTTTTTATGCACATGTGCATACCAGACAATTTACTTTTTTGCACATGTGCATACCTTACAGACGAACGGTTCTTAGGGTGTTTCGCAGTTTTTCCAACTTTTTTGTGGTTTTCCCCTGAACTCGACCCTATTTAGGTATATTCATCATGAATAGTTGGTTCTTTCCTAAATGAACTTTCCTCTTGTTTAGAAAACATCGAAATCATTGTTCATTCACCGTGTCTGTTTATTGGTTGTGCAGTTACTCAAACCCTTTTGAACTTTGTGCGACTCTTCCGAAAATCTGACGAGGAGAACCTTAAACAGGCTGAACTTGAAAAAAAGAAAGCTGCAAAGGAGGTTGAAATGGAGAAAGCAAAGGGTATAAATTTGACAAAGAAGGGTGGTGAGAAATAGGCAGCAAAACTCAAAAAATTTCACTTAAATCCTTGAATGGATTTGATGGGTTCTTCATAAGATCATACAAAAATGTATCTGGTCAATGAAGAATTCGCAAGCCTGGTGCCAACCGGACCACAATCGAAAGAAGTTGTGCTCATCTTGATGAATTTTCGAAAATGAAAAGAGGGCGGGCGGGTAGTCCTTGAGAAGGCTTGCACACAAATATTCACGGAAACAGTCTCTCTACCCTTTGGAAACAATCCGTCTACCATTTGGAGTAGAGGAAAGATCTACATACATTTTACCCTTCCCAAACTCCTACACTGTATGGGCTCGTTTGGTTTGGTTTGGTTTGGTTCGGTGAAGGCGTTGTTCCATCATTGAAGATTGTCCAAAGGTGAAAAGTATAATCTTTATGGATACAGATAGATACAGATCTTCATGAAACCCGTGGATGATCTTGGTTGTTTGTGTTCTCGGGGATGATACGATTCGATACGAACCCCATCTGGCCTTAAATTCCACCTTTCAGTTGGCGTCTCATGGGGTCAGCTCGGCACCAGAACCATGTACAGATCTCTAACCCCAGATTAACATATCCATATTCGTTTATTCGTTTTGTATCATATACCGGAAATTTATTGTTCGTTTCATTCCCTTCTAACCCGAAACAATTTTGATGGGGAATCGAAACTTTGCTGTATATAGAACTAGAACTAGAACTAGAAATTGAACTAGAAATAGAAATAGAAATAGAACTAGAAATAGAAAAGAGGAAGTAGAAAATAGGGTATTGATGTAATTGTTGTAACCATGAGATTTAGGCTGCAGATTTTAGGCACATATTGTTTATTCCGTTAGATTTAAAAATAGGAATTTTTACTAGATTATTTTAACATATATACAAGAATCTTATGATCGACTGTGAATCTAGACGAATTGTTTAATCAAGTTGCTGTCTTTGATCGATTTGATCGTTTCTTGCGATTGTTATGATTGTATGATTGGTATTCGAAGTCCGATCGACATATAACTGTAGAGTGATCGAAAAAGGATTAAATGGTTGTTACATAAAAAGAGAAACAATTTTCTCTTACAGGTCGATCGAGTGTCTGATTCTTGATTAGGTATTCGAAGCATGTGTAAATAGAAGACTTTTTTTTCCCTTCCATTCCTAATTCTACCTTTAAAGGGCTTCGTTTCGGCCCGCAACCAGTGGTTGATGCCCCACCCGAGCTCTCCATGACTTCGGCTGCAAAGACTTTCTCCTTAGGCGCATGTCTCAGCAACACAAAACGAGGGTTTCGCTCGTTATAGGGGTGGAAATTCTTCTATAACGGCATCAATTGGTTGGAAGAGCTTAGACAGCAAGCAAGCGAGAAGGAATCGCGAACACAGTGGTCTCTGACCAGGACCAGGAACCAATGCCTTTTCAAGCACCCCCTTCCCTTTGCCTATAGACCTCAGAGCTGATGAAATTGCTGAAGCTGGAGCATCTACTTCAGTTAATTAGGTTAAAATGTGCCTGAGGCGATACTAGTTATCAGGTCAGAGAGAGGCTGAGTGGAGAATCCCCTGCAGAGAGCCGGATGAGAGGGAGGGGGGGGGATTGCTTAATCGGCATTTCTGTCAATCGGCGGAAGACTCATGCATCCTGTCAGATAGTATATCATTAAGTACTAATTCAATACATCTTATCCTTTTAGATCTTATATACGAGTAAGATATGCCGAGTTTGTTTGGTTTATAGTATATCACTAACACATGATACAACGTTAGTATTTGTAAAATATACAGAGTGTTTTTAAGACTTTTACGGTCTATAATATAATATAGAGTAAATTGTGGTTTTCATCCCCATTGTTTATAATTCAGTGCTATTTGGTCCCTTGTACTTTATATTTGGTACACTGGACATGATATAACAAAATAGAAAAGGAATAATTGTTCCGCGTTTGACAGAATTTATATGTGGAACAGAGTTGAACAAGTGTATTCCATCTTAAATAAAACTCAATTTTCTTCTAAAATATCAAATATGTCTCCCTCTTTACATTTTATTCATTCTTTAAATTTTATTTATTTTATTTTATGTTTTTTAAATTTTCTTTTAACGATTCTCAAAATATTATTTTTATATGGTTTTTATGTAATTTATTAAATATTAATAATAAAAATTAGTATATGAAATATAGAAACTAAAAGTTGAAAACTACATAATTTTTTTTATTTTGATGTCATTTTGATCATCTTAACGAAAACTTTATAATGATATATTTTATTATAAGAAATATATAAAATATATAAACAACTCATTGTGGGTAAATTGGTTCTTTTTATTTGTCCTGTTTTGTCCACTTTTGTCTTAAAAAACGTTGAAAAGTTGTTTTATTCTCTTATGTTCTATCATATCTAGATACTAGGGATGAAAACAGTAATTTCTAAACCACAGGGACTAAAGTCGCACGTTTTAACAAACCACAGGGACGAAAATCGTAATTTACTATATAATATAATAGAAATAAAAGTGGGGACTAAAATGGTCATAAATGGAAAGGGAGGGCATATATTGCCTATACATCTAAACTCTAGGGGAAATAGTAAAACATTAAGATCGCGGCGTATGCATATCCATTTGTCAATGCTGACTCAGGGTTGAAAGTAAATAAATCTTGAAAATTAAACTTCCTTTTCAATCCCTGCTTCTAATAAATTCTTTAGCTTCCCGTAAATTACACCCATCACTGTTCTACGGATGTGATCTTCTCCAATTGGAAGGTATTTTGATTTTAAATTCATGTTTCTTTTCCAATTTTGGAGATTGTTTATGAACTAATGATTGTTAATCTTCTACTTCAAGCTTGATTGTGGCTGTGATTCATTCTGTTTCTCGGATCGTTTTCTGGGTCGAGTCAGTTTTTGTCGATCAATTTGTTCTTGGTAGGGTTTAATCTGGGCAATTGATTTGAAACTTCGAATGCTAATCCGGGTCAAAAAAAGCCGAAATAGGATCCGACGGCTAATAATTGCTTCTTTCCTATTGGTTTTAGTTTGGTTTTTCCTAAAATTTATGAATACTTTATGTTTAAAATGGTATACTTACCTTCTATGATGAATTCGTCCATGGTTAATTGGTTTACATGTATCTTGAAGTTGTTTTGAATGGTGAAATTAAGGTCAACTTTGGGCAACAGGTATGAAGAGTTAAAGAAATCTTTAAAGAATTTGTTTGATTTGTTCTTCGAATTTGGATTATTGTTTCTTCTTAGCCTTCTGTTTGTGATGGGTTTTCTAGAAAAGGGTATAGAGATCACAGCATTTGTTTTTTAGCAGTGTTCTAAAAGGCTCGTGCACGCTGAACCCGTGGCATTCCATGTCCCAATGTGTGGTTTTTGTAACACAATATTTGATTTTTTTACCTACTTATTAGTTTTAAGTATATAACCTAATTTTAATTGGTTAATATCACTGACTTATTGAGTAATAGTAGAAAACATATGTGTATCTATATGATGTAGAGATTTGCGGTCATAAATCAAGCCTTGAAAAACCTCATGGCCTTGCCGTGGCACCAAGGGCTTGAGGCTTGACCTCGCCGCCATCTAGAACCTTGGTTTTTAGGGAAAAATAGTAATCTTTGTGGTGATATTGATTATGATCAAGATTCATTTATTTTATCACCATTAGAGGATATTTAAGAAATACGATGAATAGTCAAACACTTGTTGCAGTCTTTATGAAATGGAATGAGTGTTTTTAATTGTTGTGTTGCTGAATCTTGTTCTACGTGGGGTTGATGTCTTATGGTTTGCTTTACTCAGTGTTCTTAATGATGCATTTCTATATGACATCTTACATGTAAGTATTAGGATCAGCAGTATCTTACACAAACAATAATTGTTTTCAAGAAACGGAAAATGAAACACACAAGATTTACATGGCTAAACAATTTGCGTACTTCCATAATTGGGATTGTTATTACATGCCAGTTTTCAGTAGGGCATACATCAAAGAAAGAGCGAATTCATTTTGGGGCTCTGCGTTACCACCTTAAGATTTAGGTGAGGGTAGATGTAAGAAGTGCGAAAAAGTTAGTTGAATCTTGACTTAAGCACGTATGAATTTACATTACTTGTGATAAAGAAATGTAGTGCGTTTGGTACACAGGACAATATAAAAACTTCTTGTCCCACGTGTGGTGCGCCATTATACTGGAAAAGAACAAGATTCGAGTGGTGCAAAAATGTTCTTTTTTGCCCCACCAAATTAGCTGGAATAAAAAAATCGAGATAAAGACAAGATGAGTAAATTACTAAACTACCCATGTCAATAAACCCTAAAATCTTCTAGAATTCTTTTACCCACCTACCTCACTTGAGCCCATCCTGTCTGGTCCTGTCTTTTCCAGTCCCAACTCCTTCATCTTGAGCCCATGGTGAAAACAATTCTAATGGGACCCGCTATCAAATTTTCTTTTCTCCTATCATAATAGGGAACAATGAAAATCTTGAAATGGTTTTCAACTTTCATCGCCGTGGTGAAAGTGATGCTTCTTTTGAACCTAATCACCCTTGTGATGGATTATATGTTAAACGTACTTTTATGGCAGAAATATGGACAGAACAAATAGAGGAGGTGGTAGCGTTGATACATTGTTACATAACTACAAGCTCGGGAAAACTCTTGGTCATGGTTCTTTTGGTAAGGTGAAAATTGCTGAGCATATCTTGACTGGCTACAAAGTGGCTGTCAAGATTCTTAACCGGCGAAAACTTAAGAACCCCGAAATGGAGGAGAAAGGTACGATCATCATATACATTGTTTATCTTTCTATTTTCTGGGTTTTATAATTTTTGTGTTCTTCAATACTTCATCTGGAAATTGTCTTTATATGTGATGTTTCTGCAGTGAGGCGAGAAATCAAAATTTGTAGATTATTTGTGCATCCTCATATTATAAGACTTTATGAGGTGATAGAGACACCCCTCGATATATATGTTGTTATGGAGTATGTGAAATCCGGAGAGCTATTTGATTATATTGTAGAGAAAGGGAGACTACACGAAAATGAAGCTCGGAAAATTTTCCAGCAGGTACGATCCTGATCAGCATCTGCCTATCGGAAACAAAGAAGAAAATTTTTAGAGAAAAAGAAGTACGAAAATTTTGCTCCATATTAGACTTGCTCTATCTCAAGAAATATTCACTTTAGAACTTAAAGCAACCCAAAGACAAACTTAGTAGACAATTTTATGCTATATTAAATAAAATAAAAAGAATTAACTTCTTATCTCATCTATAAAAAGGAAGTGAAATTAGGAAGATCAAATTCATCTTTTGTTGTTAACGTTTTGAATGAATGTGATGCTTATTTAAATCGACAATATCACACATAGTGGCGAATAACGAAAAAATCAAACATGAATTTTTTGTGGTTCAGCAATCTTTATGCATTGGCGGTCATTGCTAAGATTTTCATTATATGTGATGAATTTTCAGTAGTACATTTAAGCATCAAAGAAATCTTGGCTCCATTGTTGGGAAGTTTTAACCATCTTAACTGTTTTCTTTCAAAATTAGGCTCCATATCCAACACTATTTTCATTATTATGATCTTTCTTACTTTATATTTTCTAAAACAGATTATCTCTGGAGTAGAATACTGCCACCGGAATATGGTAGTCCACCGGGACCTTAAGCCGGAAAACATTCTGTTGGATTCAAAAGGCAATGTTAAGGTTGCCGACTTTGGGTTGAGTAATATAATGAGAGATGGACATTTTCTTAAAACGAGTTGCGGAAGTCCAAATTACGCAGCTCCTGAGGTAGTTCATCCCATTTTTATTCACCAAAGTTTTCTTTTCTTTTTTCTTTTGTCGAGTCTTTATTTAAAGCTTACGTCAGAAGATTATGTTAAGATCCTAAAATTGGTACTTGATATGCAGGTTGTTTCTGGTAGACTTTATGCGGGTCCTGAGGTAGACGTCTGGAGTTGTGGAGTCATCTTGTATGCTCTTCTATGTGGCACTCTTCCTTTTGATGATGAGAACATTCCCAATCTATTCAAGAAAATAAAGGTATAGTTTTCCTCTGAAACAACCATTATACTGTATGAAGTAGAGGTCAAGTATGTGTACATCATACCCCTCCCAAACCATCCTCTGGGTGGGATATACTAGGTCCGTTTGGTTTGACTTGGGAACATTTTTTTAAAAGAAACCAAACCAAACGAATCCCGTATATCCCACCTAGGGTTTGGGAAGGATCAAAAGTATGCATACTAGACCTCTACCCCTGAAGGTCCCGTTTGGTTTGTAGGATTCGATTGGATTTGGAGGGATTTGGAATTGAATTCCATTCCAATCCCATGTTTGGTTTGAAGGATTTCCTGGGTTTGAAATTCTCGGGATCTCATTGAAATTCTACAAACATAGGATTTTGAAATCCCACGCGGGTGGTTGGTATTTCATGGGATTTCGTAGAATTTGTATGTAATAATGCTTTATAATATGTTAAAAACATTTGTTTTGTAATAATCAATAAATAAAAACATAACTTAATTATTGTTATAATTATTTATTATTTGTTTTTATAAATTATTTATAAATAATGAAATTCAATTCCATTCCAAATCCTACAAACAGAACACGCCAAAAATTCCAAATTCTTCCAAATCCAAATCTCTCCTGTTCCAAATCCTTCTTCTAAATCCAAATCCCTCAAAACCATTCCATCCAACCAACTTCTCCTGATGGTAATTGGCAAACATAACTTGGAAACTTTTTGGAATAGGAATTGCTGAAATATTCAGTTAGTTTATATATAACGTTCTGTTCTCAGTCTGGGATCTATACTCTTCCGAGTCATTTGTCACCTGGAGCCAGGGATTTGATCCCCAGAATGCTTGTGGTTGACCCAATAAAGCGAATAACAATTGCTGAGCTCCGTCAACACCATTGGTTCAAAGCTCAACTTCCTCGTTACTTAGCTGTTCCTGCCCCAGATGCAACAGAGCACCTAAAAAAGGTACATGAAATCAAGAAAATGATGGAAAAAAAGATCCATTTTCAGCTCCAAAAGATCTGATTTTGTACTTATTTGTAAGTCATCTAACTTATTGTATGTTCTGTTTGTCAGCTTGATGAGGACATCATCCTAAAAGTGCTCACGATGGGTTTTGAAAGAACCCATTTGACTCAATCACTTCAAACCCGAATACAAGATGATGTATCTTATTTCATTTGTTATAATTTGCATAAAGTTTGTATCCCTTTTTGCTGGTGATAAATCTTGAAACTTCTCAGGCCACTGTTGCATACTATCTGCTGTTTGATAACCAGTCTCGTGTGGCTGGTGGGTATCTTGGGTCTGAACGTTCCGAGTCCCTGGTGCGTGATTTTGAATTTACGACATCATCTTTTTTTGGTAATTTGGTGTTTGAAGTTCTCTTGAATATGATTTGATGCAGGAGGGTGATCTTGCTACAATGCATCTAGACAATGTTCAGGATAGGGCTACAATGAACAGTTTTGCTCGAGATACTGCTTTAAGGCCCAGCTTGCCTGGTGAAAGAAAATGGAACATCGGAATGCAGGTGTGCTTTAAACTATATTTAACTTTGAGAATCAGGTATTTTGGCTAATCACACTAGCAAATTTTGAGAAATGAGGTCAAACTTGTGACTTTTGAGGTCAAACTTGTGACTTTTGAGGCATCTTTATTCATTTCGAAGTTAAAAGATCAGTTTGTTTGATCTTGAAACTCAAACTGTACCCCTTTCTACAGCTCCCAAATGTAAACACCAAATATTAGAGGAATTTTATAAATTTTGCGAATAAAGATGTGCACTTTAACCTTGAGGGGTAGCTTAATTGGTAAGACCTTGGGTTTGCACCCTGGAAGTCACCGGTTCAAATCCCCTCAGGGCCACGGGCGTATTTGTATGGCCGTTAACTTCAGTCTTCAGGACCCCGGATTAGTTGAGGTGCTCACAAGATGGCCCGGACACCCACGATTACCAAAAAAGATGCATTTTGACTTTTGAGGTCAAACTCGTGACTTTTTATATTCATCATGATGTGGGTTCTTTTGTGAATCCCTTATAGTGAATGGCATAAATTTTAGTTAGTTATTTAACTTATCTTGAAGATTTGAGGCCTCTTTATTCATTTCAAAGCTAAAAGATTAGGCCCTTTGACCTTGAAGGTCAAAATTTTACCCATTTTCTCCTTACAATAATTTCTCCTTTTGATTTTTGAAGATTCCTGCAAATCCTCGCGAGATAATGACACGAGTTCTTGAAGTTCTGAGAGACCTAAAAGTCTGCTGGAAAAAGATCGGGCTTTATAACATCAAGTGTCGATGGGTTTCCAGCATCCCTCATCCCGACTCAGTTGCTACCCACCAACTGTACGAGAATCATTACAACAATTCTGCTATTACACCAAACAATATTCGATCACAGAATGTTGTGAAGTTTGAAATTCAGGTACAACCCTTCATTTTCTTGAAGCTTTTTTGGTGTTTTTCTCCATTTTTGCTCATATAAATCTTGATTCGACAGCTTTACAAGACTCCGGAGGACAGCTATTTGGTCGATGTCCAGAAGATCAACGGTCCACAATTGCTGTTTCTAGACTTCTGTGCTGCTCTTATACTGCAGCTAGAGACTGGCCTCTTCTAAAGTACATAATGCTGCCTGTAAATACTCGGATTTTTTTTAATTGTTACGAAATGATGAAGACATCCTCTGTTATCGGCTTATTTTCTTGATTTTTGTACACTTGTTTGTTGTTTCTGTATACTTAGATCATTGATTCTGAGCCTATAGTCTTAAAAATTTGAGGATCCACTTAGATCACCCAATCTGCTAAATTCACTACTTTCTGCAAGGCAGGATCGGGTTGCGAAAGGACGTGGATTGATGGGATGAGAAAAGCCGGGATTTTTCTGTTAGTTGTCAGAAACTGCGCCTTCACAGTTCGTCGGCAAATTGGCATGGAGGATGTGAGAACACCGCCACTGCTATCCCAGCGAACTTCTTGATCATTATTCATTAGTGAATATCATCATATTCATTAGTGAACTGAAGAGCCTTCTTGAAGGTAGTTTTGCTTCAATTTAGAGGGGTAGGTGGATGGGTGAGAGCCTAAGAGGTTCTTGGGTTATATAGATAACTTAAGAACCGCAAGGTTTGCTTCAATTTAGAGGCTTAGGTGGATGGGTGAGTGGTTATTGGTTATATAAATAACTGAAGAACCAAACCCATCCACCCATCATCAATCCAAACCTAACTCCCCCCCCCCCTTTTCTCATGAACACATGATGACCGAATTCCGAAAGGGCTGTCTCCAGCGTAGGTTGGTTGAACTGTGAGGTATTGTGGATGAACCCTTGCCGGAGACCCCTTGGGACGAGAAAAGAAAGATTTTAGGGTTCTTGTTACGGTCATTGAAGGATACGACCTTAATTGAGTATTTAATTAAATCCATAACCATCTTTGCCTATTCAAGAAAAAATGACTTTATACTCATAAAAAGTTCATGGATTTAATTGAAATTTCATTTAAGGTTATATACCTGAAAACCCCTTATTCTCACCTTTTAGGGCTTGTGTCTGGACTATCTATAATTGGATCAAAAGCCACTTGGTTTGATATTCTATATTTTCTGATCTTATTTGGGGTATTTATTTAGTTCATCGTATGGGATGTTTGGTTTGTAGGATTTTTTTGGAACGAATTGAATATGTCAAAAGAGATTGGAACTTGAAAGGATTGAATCAGGTTTGAAATGGTATAGAGTCTATTAAAAGAATTAGAGTATGTCTGTTTGGTTTGTATAATATAATTTTGGAATTGTAATGAAATAATAATCAAAATTTCTTCAAAATGGAGAATAAAACTTCAAAATCTCTTTTCAACTTCAACAGATTCTCCATTTTGAAGGTTATAACATTGATTATATTATTAAAATATTACATTCATCTAATAAAACATTATTTTTTTCTAAATATTTGTTCTCCAAAATTTCTCATTGGTATCAATTTTAGAATGTTCTCCAAATTTAGAGATTTTCACTCTTTAACTTTTTCAGAAAGGTTTTGAAGATTTTGTTGGAGCAAGAAACAGATCCAAAATGTATATTTTCCGTGTTTAGCAGAGACACTAAAGGGTCTGTTTGATTTTATGGGATGTTTTTGAGAGATCTGGATTTCGTACAAGGATATGGAATGTTTGTTATGTTTGGTTTGTAGGATTTGAAATCGAATTGAATTATTATTTTTTATTAATCGATTACTATTAAACAAGTGTTTTTATTCTATTTTAAAACATTATTACAATCTAATCTTATGAAATCATGCAAAATACCAATTATCCCCATCGGATTTCTAATTCCCATGTTCTTGGGATTTCAACTCCATACTTTTTCCAAACCAAACACAAGATTGAAATGAAATCCAATTCCAAATCCTACAAACCAAACAGACTAGAATACATGAGTAAATATAACATATCCAGGAAGGTGGCAATTTAGATACACATTCACATTATACAAGTTCCTAAGACCAAAAATGGCTGAAATCATAATAACTTAAGTGGAATTATATATCAAAGAAGATTGACTGCCAAAACTAGGTGACAAAAAGCTTAATTTATATGAAAAATTGGAAAAACATTGTGTTGTTTTTGTTGGCTATGAGGGGTATATTTGTCCGTCTTAGGGACCTCTACATAAGTAGTATCACAGAATGTTGAATGACCAAGAAAGAGGAATAACAAGAGTAAAATAGTTACAACTTTACTTTCACTGCAATCCACAACCTTGTTCTTCTGCTTTCATGTAATGATATGCCCTCCTTAACCTCTGCAACCAACAATCAAAATGAAGTTTAACATGAATTTTTCTGCCCAATTGTCGTCCGATCACTTAACGTAAATACTTAACGTTTTCCAAATCTCAACATTGACCAAAGTTGTTAGACTCAAGGTACACTTAGGCACAAAGGGGTCCCGGGGCCTAGGCACACAGGTATGAGGCGCGAGCCCCGAGCCTCACGAATGTGAGGCGCATCTTATCATAAAAGAAAAAAAATATAATATAGAGGGAGGTTCAGGGGAAACCCCCCAATGAATCAGTACATATAGGTAGCAACTATCTCGAAATGGATAAGTAAGCTCCCCCACAAGCAACCTATTTCATACCCTTTTCGTCCCTTGTCACTCGTCCCTCTTTTACGTTTATGAAAATACCGGGTCATCTCCCCCCCCCCCCAGGTGGTGGGGAATCTGCTCCCGGGTCATCCCAAAAAAAAAATGAAAAGCTGAGGAACACTTTGGTAGCTATTCATCTGGACGGTATGCACATGTGCATACAAGTAATTGAAGCTGCTTTTTGGTTTTTATGCACGTCGTTATGCACATGTGCATACCATCTAGATGAACGATTACCAAGGTGTTCCTTGGTTTTTCATTTTCTTACGGTTTTCCCTGAGCCTGACCCTATATATATATATATATATATATATATATATATATATATAGAGAGAGAGAGAGAGAGAGAGAGGAGCGATCAAATGCAAACTACTCAATTTGTACAAACCGTGCAAACCTCATTCAACCAATCATAATTTTTCATTTTGTTCATTTTTTTGTAATTATGAG